CTCTTTCTTTCTCTCTCTTTCTCTTTCTTTCTTTCTTTCTTTCTTTCTTTCTTTCTTTCTTTCTTTCTTTCTTTCTTTCTTTTTTCTTTCTTTCTGTATCTGAGCCTCAGGTGACCTTTATCAGTGCTTCTTAATTTGGAGAGAGGAAGAATTGGAGTTGTTGGAGTTAGAGTGGACTCTTGACTTACAAACTCAATTCATTCTTGAAGGCTGCTTGTAACTCAGGTTGGTCAATGAAGGCTCAGGCTCCTCTACACAGTCTTCAGAGTCTCTCTGCTGTACACAGGCCGATCTCAGCATCCTTAGAGAGACGTTCACCCTGGATTTCTCAATTAACCCCACACAGAAAGTAATGCTCCTTCTAGAACTAGTTAAGGGTTAAACCTGTATCTGAGACCATCTGGAAGCACAAGGGGCCAGCATTCAGGTCATAAACTCAAGACTTCGGTAGTCAGTTAAAATTAAAATTCTGGTCATAACCCAAATTGTTCATATGTCTGGCTGGTGGTAACTCGAGGGTCCACTGTAATTAGATGTGAGGAGTGAATTATAGAGCTCAGGGGAGATCTACCCACCTAAGGGACAGGGATGCTCCTAGGGTGCAGTTCTGGTGGAGAGCCTGTGAAGTTGGAAAATATCTCTTCAGATGTTCGGATATGGCTCACTTTTACCCTGGGACACTATGACCCAGCCACCGAGGGAATGAGCAGATGCACACTGCCCATGTCAGAGCCAAGTACGTGAGCAACCTTTTTCTCCACGTCAATACTATTGAGGTGATTCTATTTCAGGAAATCACTGAGACAAATGTTCAAAGGAAGGAGATTGTTTATTTTACCATTCAGGACAAATTTCTCTATATCTAGGTTTTGCCTTCTTAACTCTGAGGAAGGAGCCATGTTCCTGTTTATATAAGAAATGTGTATAAAGGGGGGGTAGAGTAGGATATTAATATTTAGGAGAAAGACGTGAGGTGTGAGACAATGTTTTCTTAAGCCTCACACTTGACAGAGGTTAAAGTTTCTTCTCTCACTATCAGTAGAAACTCATCTTTTTCTCCGCTCCTTGCTGCTTCTGACTTCCTTAATTGATTTGAAATTTATCCATCATGAATTCTCTCCACTGGCTTAATGCAATGGTGGGTCTGTTAGTTGTCCCAACTTCTTTCCAGTTTTCCACTGCTTTTCAGGATATGTTGTTGCCACTACTCACTCCTGTTTGATTACTGCCATTTCTGCTCTGATTGTAATTTTTCTGCTGATGAAATTAACCTTTTATTCCAAACAATATGTATTCCAGGGACAACTGATCAGCTTCTTTTATTTATTAGCCAGCTGTTTTAAAATTTTTTTCTCCTCTCTTGTGAAGCTGATAATAAGAATGCCTGCTCATAAATGAATTTGATTGTATAACATATTCTCCTGTGACACTGTGACTGTAATTCAGCCATTATGCTCAGGGCAGATCTGTATGTTCCATTCTGACGCAGTCCAGGCTATGCTATGGCATCTTGGTGGAAGCTGAGAGCTAATTTGGGAGAGGTTAGAAGAGTGAAGCAAAGCTGTGAAATTCTAGAGTTATTGATAAAAACCGGTATTTTCTCTTCTACTGGAATGATGCTTTTTTTCTTTTAATACAGATGATAGAAATGGAATTGCCTATAGCAAGCTCCTTTCCTCTCACACCCTCAACCTTTAAACATCATGCTACAATAATGGATGACAAAGCCTTACACAGCACAGAGAGAGAGCACAGACAGACTTTTGCAATACAAATAGGCTTATTTTCCTGCAAACATCTGCCTCTCCAACATTTTAAAGACAGGCCTACTCATTCTTCATGGTGCTCTTATCTGGTATTCATCATCAAAACATGAATCCTCTTGTTATCGTTTTCTTAAGGAAAAGTAGAAAGAATGACACATGAGAATGCTTTCAGTGGGTTTTCTGTGTAGCAGAAGCCAGCTTGCTGTTTGAGGTTTGGCTGCAATATGGTAAAGTCTGCTCGCTTTCAATTATTCAAAGCCATTTATATTTTTGCAAGCCAAGTTGGATAAGTTTATATTTCTATTTTTCCAATTCTGAAATGAGGCTCTTTGGATGAATCAAACCATCCCTAGGTTATTGCAAGGAAAAGTACCCTCTGAAGCCTTTTAAGAAGTTCCTACATTCCAGAGCAAAGGATCACTCCTTGTTACTAAGCCATATTTCCTTTTTGCCTCTTGACTTGCAGTATCCTCTTCTAGGTGCTCTTGCTCAGTGATACCACATTCAGTCGATTTTCTTTTAGCAAGAACAATATTACCCAAAGCAAGTTCCCTTGTAAAGAAATAATTTCATGGGTTGCAATCTGTTAGCAGACAAAACAATTTTTAAAAAGATAAAGAAAAAAACCCAGGAATAGATTAGTCAGTTTAGCCCCTGGCATGCCAAATCTACCTGTTCCACTGATCACAGCGCTGGTCAGTAAGTGTGCCCGACCACGTTGTTATTTACTTATTTTTACCCTAATGCACTAGCCTTGCTTGCAACCACTGGGGGACTTGGTTGGTAGGGTGAAGTATGGAATAAAAAAGTCACTATCTGGCTGGTCATGTGAGTAATACCAAATAGCACCAGCAAGCTTCTGCCTGTGGCTGGGTCAGCTGAGCTATCTCGAGACAGTTTTTGTACCATTGATTTTTTAAAAATTTCTATGAAAGAAACCAGGACTGGGACCCAGCAGGTTTGGAATGATGCCAGCATCCTGTTGAGTTGGAAGAAAAGGCTGAGAACAGGAAGTATATTGACCCAATTTGTTGGACAAAGTGCATTAGAGGTTACAGAACTAGTTGCCAAGGTGTTGCTCTGTAAAAGCTTTTCAGAACAAGAAATTTGGGACAATGAGATACAAATGGAGTTGGTGGTGAGGGCCTAAGGAAGCCCAGACTTTCCATTCCTTTGGATAGGACATATATAATAGGAATCTTGTTCTTGATTTCTGGGCAGAATAAAGTCACAGCATTCTATGTTAATTATTTGTGCCTTTAATTGTTAATGCCTATTTTAAATTGTGGAATTTCCAGCTGTTGTCTTTGAGTGAAATGACTTCAGGAAACAAAATTAATTGGTTTATTCTTTGCTCATGCACATGATAGTTTCACACAAAAATTACATGAAAAACCTTGGAATATGTTATCTTCTTGGAAAAGTATGCCAGATTTGCCATAGATGTAGTATGACATCTAAGACCTAAGGTGCTGGGTAATCTGCCCCACAGACAGAGCTTTGTAAATATCATATTTCATAATAAACTGAATAGGTATGGCTGAGAACTTTGGTCCTTCTCCTGACACCTACAGATCTCCAGATTACCTACCCACGGAGCTCATATGCAAGTTCAAGAATCCCTATCACCTTTCCTGGAAAATGTCCCGTAGGGGAAGTTTTGCTAGATCTTTCCTGGGGAGGAAATCTTCCCTGTATGCACATTAAGAGCATCA